CCAGAGAAAGAGTCAAGGGGCCTAGAAGTGAGGATGAGAGCCAGTTGGTCCTGTAGTGTACAGTGCTGGGCTTCCCCTTGTGGGTGTTGTAGTCCTGGGTTCAGGTCCTGTCCTCTCCACCTTTTTGTGGTGTGGTGCTTTCCTCTTTCAATGGAGGGGCCTAGGCACTGCGCCTCAAGGGGCTCACGGGTGGTGTATCTTTCAGCCTTTCCCAGTAGTCTGGTGGTAAGGGTGCTATCATAGATGGCAAAGGTGGTGGGTTCAACCCTGACCCTGGCTGGGGCTTGTGGGTCTCTCAGTCCTCAGTGAGTCCTTGGTGTCTGTGGACAGGTGCTCACAAGGAGGCTGTAGTGGGATGGCAAGCTGGGATGGAAGGGGGAGAGGAGAAATTTTTTTTTTTGCACTTTGAAAATCACTTTTTCTGCCCCTGCACCCCAAAACCAGGCCAAAAAAAAAACCCAGCAGACCGGGTGGTTCGGGACGTATCCAGTTGGGCTACAGCTCCAAATCCCCTCCCGCTTTCAACCATGATCACCGGCTGTTAGGTAAGCGCCAGAGAGGAAGTCGGTTGCGTACTAGTTGGGACTAGAGGACTCAAGCCTTGTAGGGACTTGAACGCGCAGCCCCTGCCTCCAGCGGCAGTGTCCCGAACCACCCTGCTAATGGGCCAGCCTAACTTAGTTACTTCCTGCGTGTCTCTTGACCCGCCTTGCCGCCTGCCCTGCAAGCAGAATAGGGACCACGCACCACCCTGGGGCTTAAAAATGGCAAGCTGCCAGCACTAGGATGCAAACCCAGAGCCACACAGTAGCACTCCACCACTCTGCGACACCAGCCACCTCTGCCTGACCCACTCCTCCTGACCCCTTGGCCTGCCACTTGCACCATATGGGCTGCTGTGGTGGGCCACATCGCACCAGTGGCCTGGCCTGGCCTCTCCTCGCCCCCCCTGCCTGGGCAGGGCCCCTCTTTTCTGCCGCTCGGTGGAAAGAGGCAGCTCCTGCTGCTAAAACCTGCAGCAACAACCAGAGCAATCAATGTGCACCCCCAGAGCCTGAGGACAACAAGAGGGGCTCCCAGGGCACGGCTCTGCTGTGTCCCGGCGTAGACACTTATGTACCGGGGCACGGCCACTCCTCTGCACATTCACCGCACCTGAAACAGCTGCCGGGTGGAAGGGCCCCGCGCTACAGTCCAGCCCAGCCCAGGGTTTGCCTTCTCCTGACTCCGCACCCTCCTGCCTTGGGGCCTCCCCGGCCCCCGGCTCATCTCCCCCGGAGGCAGTAACACAGCTGGTGCTCGGAGCCACGCTTTTGGCGAACAAGCCTCTCGCTCCCGTACTGCCCCTGCCCTGGGCACGAGGCGATGGCTCTCTGACAGGCCAGGAGGCCAAAAGCTTCTCAGTTCATACTGAGAACTGGGGAGAAGATTTCAATGGTCCTAAGTTAGTAGTCCTTATCTGATACCAGTGCTAGTGGCTAGCTCTCCACACGCATATGTATTTGTTCCAGTCTCCTCAGAGGTGCAATGAGTATTTTCTGGACTGCTAGGAGTAAGAACCTGCTTTAATTTTCTCACCACCACCTCCCCTTCTTCGCAGTTCCCCTGAGGGCTCGGATGGGGTTGCAGGGGAAAAGCATGTTGATGCAGCCAACAAAATACAGTCTGTGAAAGGCGGCTGTGCCACATGCATGAAGATACTTGTTCCAGGTTCTTGTTGACTGCCCTGGGATTAATGCTAGTATGCATGGGGGGGACGTACGCTAAATAATTGCCCTGCACATCCATGCATTATACAGGAGACCAAAGGGCTTGGCCAGGCTTGTGGTGTCTCCAGTTGTTGTTTTACTGTCTTTGGTCGCTCACTGCAGCTTGGTCTTTTAGATAACAATACTGGGTAAGAGGCCAGGGGGTAGAAAGGAAAGAAGCTGAAAGTTTCCTGGCTGCCTGTGTGACACTATAGGAGCTTAATTTTCAGTAAGTGCATTAGTGCCTCTGTGCTGGACTAACGTGGCTAACTACATCTCACTGCTGGTTGGGTACAACATGGAATAGGGCCTGCTATGTAAAAAGATACGGAAATTAGGGAACAGTCAAATACTTGTTATTGGAGCAGCAGGAGAAAATTAACATCAATGAAGACAACAGCAGGAAGTCATGTTTCTATGTGATCAACTGAAAAAGCTAAATGCTTATGATAGTAGTCTCTGCTTTTTGGTGGGAATGTGAAAGAATATGCACAAGGGGGAGGCCTTAGTTTGCTATCGAAATGGAGGTTTGCACTGTGAGACATGGCTGCATCTCTCTGGGATCAAAACTCAGAATATGGAGTGCAGAAAAAGCATGTAATGAGTGGCATGATAAAATGCCACCCTGGAGGGAGCATATGGAGTCTAATGGCAAAACTGGAACTTTCCTTCCAGTGCTTCCTGGCTCTGATCCCACTCCCGTGTTGACCTCAGTGGACATGGCGTGTCCTCATACAAAGCCACTCAGCACCCATGGAAAGCTTGTGACCCCGTTACCTGGAGGGCTGTGGACGCTCTCAGATCCATCCGTGACCATATGCTCAGGGGAGTCCATGTTCCACCGTCTTGTCCCAGAGGCACTTGTGTTCCCATGGGAGGCCTCCCTTGTTTCTTGTCTGCTTCAGTCCCTAGGTTCCTTCTTCTCAGAAACTCCTTTTGGCGGGAGCTCTGGGACTGCTCCTTCATCTCTTTCTTCCTGTATTGTCCCATACGGCGGCACGTGGTCACGTTGTTTCGCCTCCGCAAGTTCTCGCGTGTCTCTTGCCGCCGCTCACACTTCTCTTCATAACTCTCATTCGGACTCCTACGCCGATGAAGGGTCTTCTCAGGTTGACTGATCATGGTGTCCACCGACGCTACCCTAGCTCTGTCCTGGTGGCTTGGGTGGAGCTCTTCCCTAATGAAAGTAAGAAAGAGAAAGACACTGAAAGTAAGTGTCTTTCTGGACACTTTACAAAATAAACTAGTGCATATGAGACTTTTACAGATGCTGGACGCCAAGTCCAAGACATAGCCACAGTTGTAGAGATACCCTCGCTGCATCCAAGGAATAAGGCTGTGTCATGACATACAGATGTGCTGACAGAAAATAGTTGTTGTCTCTCTGTCCCTAAATGCGGATGCATGTGCTAATCTGGGGTACTCCTTGAACTGGAAAATCAACTGCAGTTTCACTCATGTCTTAAGTGATGAGACCTATTCTGCAATCTATTAAATCTTGCCATTATCAAATCCTTGCTGCTATTCTTCTTCTTTGCTTGGCGTTACCCTCCTGTCTCTAGTTATAATCCCTTATCCTATTTAAATAAATAGACAAGCAACAACAATGATTTCTCATACTTCTGTACTAATATGTTTGAAGTTTTTTCCTCATGCCTGTGTTTTTCCAGCCTTTTGTATAGGACCCAATACAGGTGTGGGGAGTTTTGCTACTAAGCAGTTTCATGCAGCTGCATGCATTTGTAAATCCTGCTTGCCTTGTGCAAGCACAGAGGTGCCTGGGGCAGGAAGAAAGTGTTACTGCACTGCATGGATATGTACAGAATCTCATTTAAAAATCCCTGGTTGCTTCCATGCCATCACATTAAGGAACTCATAACCTCTGAAGATGATGCTCACCTCCAACATGACTCTGCTCCTTCTATTAGCCCCTCTGTCCCACAACTCACCTTTTGCAGTAGCTTGACTTAAAGGCTACTTTACACTTTGTGCTTCACACAGTCTCCTTCCTTTTCTGTCACCAAGGCTTGGCCAGCTGTAACTGTGTCCTGAATTCGCCCAGCTAGTAACACTGGATCCAGTCCCCTACTGCTGTAAATAACATCGCTCCAGCGAGAGACTGGTGGATGCAGGAGTGGAAGCAAGAGGAGTCTGGCACTGCGCGGTCCAGGGAGTAATTTTTGCTTTCACTTCCGTTGGCCTATGCAAAGCAGGCAAGTCGCGCCAGAGGCCTGTACTAAGAACAAGCTCCTTTGTTTAAGCATTACCTCCCTGCAGGGTAGGGTGCTGGTGGGCAGGGTGAGCTAGAGCCCCTTCCCTCTCACAGAACTCTACCCAATTGCAAGCTTCGTTGTTTTTGTTCTGCAGGATTGTGGCCACATCGAGGGCATCTGGGTCTTTGTGTCTTGCTCGGGGAAAGAGAAAATGGAACACAGCGCTCATACTGACAAAAGCCCCAAAACAAACATTACTCTACTTCATCCAGACTTTCATTGCCAGTTCAGGGATTCCCTGTTCCTTGATCCAGACGGATAATCCTTGAGCACATTGCATGGACACTGCTTGAGCTTGCTACACTTCCACCCAGGCGCTTGGGATTGGATGGGTGCTTGGGGGACTGGGAGTGTCTGCCTGCCTCGGTGCTTCATGGTGTGTGCTGCTTGCCAGTCCAAGCATAACTTTTGCCTTTTTATTTTCAATGGCTGCACTGGAACAATTTTTATTCTGGCTCCTCTGATCTCTTAAGATCCATGCTGCAGCCCTGGGGCTGGAATAGCTGGCTGGCTTTCCATCAGATGAGAGGATCCAACTGAGAACCTGGTTCTCCTATTTTTCATCCCGGTGTTATCTCTGCTGAATCTAGCAGAGATAGCCTGGATTCTCACTGGTGCAAGGGGGAAAAGCAACAGGTCCCCAGCTCTAGTACTTTCAAAAGGGCTCAGAACCAGCAGAGTAATGGCCAGCCTTTGGTGCTCCCATGACCCAGTAGGGTGGGATTCTCCAAGGCACGTAGCATTGGCCTAGTTGTACCATTGAGGCCAATAAGGATGGAGCATAGGCAAGGTTGGAGACTCTGGAAAATCCCAGATTTACAAACTGTTTAGTATCATCTTGTCCAAGCCCTGGCATTCAGTTATAATAAGTATCCCACATCTTACCTCAGAACAGAATGTGACCCTGAGTCGACTGGAAGTAACACTGATCTGAAATGCTCTCCTCCTGACTTACACCAGTGCAGCTGTGATTTGGGTTCACCACTTTGCCTGCACCAGGTTCAAAATAAGAGGGAAGCTTCTGGTTGGGGTATGAAGAATTGCCTGGTGCTGGCTGGTTCTAGGTTTCAGTTTCAAATTGGATTGCAAGGCTGTGGACCATACATGGCAATGTACATTCATGTGACAAGTATGTAAAACGGTACTTCTGTGTCACGCACAAGTCTCTGTGGTCAGGCTTACATTGCTGGAACAGGTGGCTCACAGTCTGTTAGTAAAGTCCATTCATAGCAAACGTATTCCAGATTCTCATTAGCATACGTTGCATTGTTTTCATAGCAAACGCTCATAATATTCTCTAAATGTTATCTTATCTAAGCTTGGCCACTTGCTTCACACTTGCACTCGAAAAACCCCTCAAGAGTTGAAAGGTAGACAGAAGGGGAGGGGTACGGAAAATCAAATTCCTCAGCAAGCCCTTTCAGGCTCCTGTTTTTATCTCTCTCTTTCCCCACCACCACTTACATAACTCTTATCAGTATTGTACCTGAGAGCTACATGTTGAGCAAAGGTGGGGGCTTCAATTAAAGTGAGACAAAGAAAAATTGATTTTAGGAGCCCAAAGAAAAATGAACACAGGAAGCAATTTCATTCTATATTATTTGTCTTCAGGGGTTGAGAAATTGCTGACTCTGATGGAAAAACTTAAGGCAAATAATGTTTGTAAGGTGGGTTGAGGATTTTTATAACAAAACTTGCCCTCCAAAAAGCTACGTAACTATAACAGAACCAAAATAGAAGCACACATTTCTTATGCTGCCATGTTGTACTAACTAATTTCCTTTTAAATTGAAAGGGACTCCAGTGCAGTAAGACGACATCCTTTTCTTGTTTGTAAGTAGGCAAAACACATGCATATAAACAATCAATATATTGCTTCACAACCTCATCCATCCAACCAAGAAAATAAAGACTCAAATGATTACACTGAAAGACAAAAATCAGCTTCTGGATGATTAGGTTGCACTATATGTTTGCTCCGTGGTCACATTTGTTCAGAGATGTGGTTTACCCTTAGAGTTTTTGATGTTCCTGTAATATCCCTAATTCTAATCTCATTTTCCAATCCTGCTCCACCAGGGCCTCTCTGAAACATTACTGGGGTGAACTTTCACTTGGAGAAGTTATCAAATGCAAAAACCCATCATTTCTATACAACTTCCTTGCTCCTGCCTCAATGTCATCCTACTTTGGACCTCCTCTCTCATGCTCACTTGTGTACACACACGCACAGACACTTTCGCAGCACAGCAGGCTGGTGCTGGGGCTGGTGAACAGCTGCACAGGCTCTGAAGTAGACAGACAGATGAGGCCTGTGCTAACACCCGGGACCTAAACATCCTGAAAACCTGAAAGCAACAACTGGACATGGCTGTGAACAACACACCTTTGGGACGAAACATATAGAAATGTCCCTGCTCCCTAGTTCGTCAGCCAAGGGCAGAAATCTCTTTCTCTGCCGGTATCTTCCCACGGTTAAAAAGTGTCTCATCCAAGGCCGGAATTAGGGTGCTGAGCCCTGCACATCCTGTGTGAGCCTTACGTGCTGGGAAGCCGCCCATTACAAACAGCGCCGTTGCCTTCCTGCCTGCTCCAAACATATACTTTGCAGAACCTCCCAACTATGCATCCTGAGCCTTTTCTTTTTAATTCTCTTGGATTTAACACAGATCCCTTTTAGAGCAAGAAAGGAGCAGAAAGAAAGGTGCGGTCCGTTACTCACCGAGCAAGCTGCTGAGGCCTCTCTGACAAGCTACCGGTTTTGTTTTCTTCCGCTACCACCCCAAGTCAACCATCCCTTGTTAATTAGCATGCCCTTTATCTCCCCTTTGCATGCTGTGGCACTCCTCCCTCCAAGGGAAATGAATAAAAGGAAACCCCAACTTGCTGTTAAGTTACAACTTCCCGCGCCAATAATGTGGGCTGAGACAGACATACGTTATCGGCTTCTCCTGTGTCAGGGCTCGTTGCTGTTCATCCACAAAGAGCCGTAGAAGTGAAGGTCTTACCTGTGTTTGCGATGGAAGCCCAGAGGTAGACGCACCAAATCACGGATCTTCTCCCCAACCTCTGTTAAGCTTCAAGGCAGAAAGAGAAGGTTGGATATTGGGTTATGGGGCATTAACTGACATCTTCATTCCAGCAACTTCATTGTGCTGCCATTTTTTTTTTTTTTTTAATAAAACAGGAAATGTGCTAAGCCACAATGCTTATCCCCGGTTCCTGTCTCGTTAGTCTGTTCTGGTACAAATTTTTTTTAATAAAACAGGAAATGTGCTAAGCCACAATGCTTATCCCCGGTTCCTGTCTCGTTAGTCTGTGACATGGTACAAAAAGCTAGCAGGCAACTTGAAGCCCAGTTCAGTATGGTGGTTTGGTTATCTTGAGATGTAAGAAGTCTGGACTTTTGCTATCACCAGCCACCGTTATCCCTCACTGCACATGGAAGCGGTGCATGGATCCAGGAAGCTATGCTCACAGCACAGCAGGTCTTTTATTATGCTTGCTGATTCCTGCTAATTCCAAGGGGCCTGGGGTTAGGTAATTCCACCCAGGGTTTAAGAGCAGTTGGTGTGAATGGAGCAGCCCTGGAAGAAATCCCTCGGACAAGCTTAGCTCGGGTGACATGGCTCAGCTCTGTGTTACATTGCTTCCATTTTATCTGCCGATGAAACAGCTGCCTTGGGAAGAGGGAGGTGTTTGTACGCTGATCCAGTGTACAGGTGCATGTGTATGCTGTGCTAGAACATGGCAAAGATGCAGCACTTTTAGGGTACATTTGTGTGATTAACCATTTGGCCATAAATGAAAGAATGCCTTCAAAAAGGTCCTGATGCAAAGCTCCTTGAATTCAATGGAAAGAACCTAACTAACCTGAATTGGGCCCGAAAAGAATAAACAAGTCTCTTTCAGATTTCTGTATTTCAGGTAGTCTCCCCTTCAGTTCTTCACGTGTCCTTGGAAAATACTTTATTATGCCAGCTTAGCTTTAATTTACACTTTGTCTCAATTTCTCCTCTTCTTTTATTTATTTTTTTAAACTCCAACTGAGATGTTATAAAATGTAAACAGCAGAGACAAAAAGAACATGCACATGGCATGTGATCCAATACCATAGTTAATGATGCTTTTTAGATACTTAGCGCTGTTGAGTTTTAGGACTCCCTCCTAACTTCAGTGATGGATAATGTGACCCCTAAAACTTTCAATGTCCTCAGCTCCCATTGAAATCACTGGGAACTCAATGTTTGGCTTGCAGAGAGTTTTGGGTGGTTGTATAACTCGGAACTGATCCCAGTCCCTCCAAATACTATTATCTGCATTAAGCAATGCTATTAGCTCTTGCAAGAGGTCACTTTGGGTAAGCATATATAGCTAAGCAAAATACAGCCCAGTCCCTGTTGAGGGCACCTATGCATTGCCTCGGTGGAAGCAAGTAGCAATAATGGCATCAGTTCAGAAGGAAAGGATGCTGTGGGGCCTGGTTCTGCTCTCGCTGGAACATAGGAAGAGGAGAACCAGGCCCTATGTTAAAGGGAGTTCATCTTGGGTTTTCCTAACATGTTGAAAATAGATGTCTTACTTAGTGGCTCTTCTTGGGACTCTGTGTGATAAGGAGCCTAGAGATTTAGTACTAAAAATCATGAGGATTGTTGGAAGAGCAGGAGGCATGTTGGGGGCTGCAATGCTTTGGAGCGGGCGATGGCCACCTCCTCCTTCCAAGAGGAGATCCAAACCCATCCACTGTTAGTTGTGCCCTCTCAGCCAGGGAAATGATTTTGCTGCTTTAAGGAAGCCTCATCTCCAGAGAGGAAATGGAGGCGGGTGGGAGGAAGAGTTGAGAGTAGTCAGTATTGTCTCAGTGGTGTAGGTGCCTAAGTCACTTTGAAAGTCAGAGGCATTTCTAACTTCTAAGGACATGACTACGCAGCAGCCCGTGAGCTTGTGGGCACATGCGTTAAGCCTATGCAGGGGCTGACTGCCCAGCCACGTGAATGTGTCTGTATGCGGGTGCAGTTGCATGGGGATGATGCTGGGGTCTATGAGGGCACGTGCTGGCATGCTTAGAGCAGGAGCTGTGCTAGGAACTTGCTTTGTTGAAGTCACTGAGGCACTTTGGAAAATCCCACCAGAAATGCTCTTTTCACTGACCAGAAAATAACTGTATTTACCTCTGTGCTCATGCCATTAGTCACTTCTAAGGAACTTCTAAGGAAGCCAAACACCTCTAAGGAAGATGCAGGGATCTGCGAGGACAGTCACAAGATTGGTGGGGTGGGCACTGGAAACAACAAAATCAAAACAAAATAAAAACGCGTGTGTGAACTTGCTTTGTTGAAGTCACTGAGGCACTTTGGAAAATCCCACCAGAAATGCTCTTTTCACTGACCAGAAAATAACTGTATTTACCTCTGTGCTCATGCCATTAGTCGCTTCCTAATTAGGCCCTAATACATATTACCAGCTATGTTCTTTTGACTTTTTCTATGTCCATGTTATTTCTTGTGAGAGAATCCAGGAAGTCCGGGGCCCAATCTCTTAATAAGAGGGGAATTGTCACAGAGATGTAGGGATAATGCAGTTCCCGTTGACGCAGCGCTCCACTCTTGATAATCTCCAGAGCACACTCTTCTTTTGGTGCAGGTTTGTTACGTATCACATGGGACACTGTTTTCATAGCTGTGTCTGGAGTGGGGGATAGAAGCAAGAAAAATGTTATCAGACATGTGCATTGCCTGTGGAATCTAATGCTCTATGATTTCAGAAGCGTTTGAAATTGCATCTTATTGTGGAAAATAATGCCTTACTAGAGGTGCTGAAGAAGGAGGAAGAAGAGGAAGAAACTTGAAGTTTATATTAAAAAGAGAGGGATGCTTTTTTGAGTAGGCAGTTGTATTATTGAGTTACTTGGGCCAAAGCATCGGGTAAATTAAACAAACAAAAACTCCACAGGGAACTTCTTAAAGGTATTCAGGGACCCAATTCCCCCCCCGATTTCCCTTTTTTGGAAGTAGGAGCCATATTTTAAAGGCATTTAGACACCCTTTTCCCATTTTCAAAAGTGTTTTAAAGCACTGCAGTAGCCCAAGTTTCAGTCTTCCTAAGTATTTAAGTCCATTTAAAAAATAAGACTTTTAAGAAAATGTTTGTTAATGTAAGTTCAATCTGTACCGGCTGTTGTAAAACACAGTAACTGAGCATGAAGTCATGAAAGAGACCACAGCGAGCTAATTTTGTCTTGTGATAGTTATATCAGCAATGTAATTTTGAGAGAGAGTGAACATTTGCAAGGAATGCAGCAGGTATATTGAGTGAAATCCTAGTAGTTCTTTCATCTCAAAGCTCAAGCTACAAATCTTCAGGAGGGGTTAAACTTTGTAAAAATGTCCAGAGAGCAGTGACTGTTTTTCAAGGAAGGAGGCTGTTTTAGTTCAAGAAAAGAAAGAGAAAAGCAGTGTTTCATTAAAAACAAAACAAAAGAAAAGCAAAACTATTCACTGATTGAAAATATTGACAGATTTGAGTGCTAATTGTTTTCCACTTTTTGCATTGAAGTGATTTTTTATGGCCAACCGTAGAGAGGGAGTGTGTGAGTGCATGCATGCAGAGATCCTACCCAGCAAGGTCTACATAATAGTGCCTGCCTTACCAGTATTGATGTAGCCCAGGACACAGAGCGTGATGGAAACATTGGCATTCTCAACAACCAGCATCTGCCTCAAGGAGCTGAAAAACCCATCCAAGGCAAACTTAGTTGTAGAGTAGGGAACGGTAAACGGGGTCCCAACTTTCCCTAGAGAGACATGCAATGGTTAGCTTGATGTGACTGAAACCTTCAGTTCACAGAAGAAGAGTCATGCCATTTTCACTGACATGCAATGGTTAGCTTGATGTGACTGAAATCCTTCAGTTCACAGACGCAGAGTCATGCCATTTTCACTTGGACTTTCTTTTCAGTAGATGTAAAATGTTGACTTGCACCAACTAATCCTAGAACCTCAGCAGGCTGAAGGATAACACTAAAATCACTATAACATTTTTATTTCAAAAACTCCTCCAAAATATTCCCAATGAAAATTTCCTGTAACGTGTAGCCTAAACACAACACAGGACAGTAGGTGGGGATCAAAAGGTTTTTTTCAGCATAAATTCTGTATGATTGGCAGAACTCACTTGGGGCTAGTGTGAACCTTGAATCAAATCTGTCTAGCTGTCCCACATGCAAACTCACTAGTATGCACCTGTGCACCATGTACGGCGAACAAGTAACATCCTGTCTCCTTATGGCAGGCATTGCTATGTGGATAGTTTGTGAGGAGTCATATTTTACTTTATTTTAGCTTTGCTTTGCGTTTTCACTGTGGGAAATTTTATTTCATTTTATTTTTGCTTTGCTTTGCGTTTTCACTGTGGGAAGGAAATGATTGGTGTTTGGTTTTAGTTAGGCAGACTTCTGTGACAGGGAAACTTCAAGTCAGCAGGAGTTGTAGGAGCATCAGAGAAATTCACCCTCTGCCTTGGGCCATGATCGAGGTAGAAGTTTTCTGGAAAAGAGTAATTTGCGTTTGACTGAGATCCTGGGGAGAAGAGGTGGCTTTGCATGCTGCCTGTCCCTGACCATGTCACTTCAGGGTGAGGGTTTGCTGGGGAGGGGGAATGATGGATGCCCCAATAGTACATCGCTTCTCCACTGGGAAGCTGCCCTGAAAGTGTATGGTGGGGTATTGGTGCCAGCAGAAGGGGAATCAGTATATAAATCGGGAAGACTTGTTTTTGGCATTCAGTAATCAACACAGTGAATCCAGAGCTGCAGTCACATTACCTAGTTTCTCAGGAGACCCTTTATCTTCCCTTTTGCAGAGTGTTTTCAAACCGAGCTTCTTTAGACAGTAGTAGGGTCTAAGTCGAAGGAAAGATTTGGACACTGACTAGCATTAAGGGTCTCTAGCCTGGGTCCTGCTTACCTGCCAAGGAAGAAACTGCAACGATGCTGCCCCTACTCTCCTTCAGCATCGGCAAGGCAGAGACGGTCATGGTCACATAGCTGAGAACATTAATCTCCAGGAGCTTTCGCAGGTGCTCAGTGTCTCCCTTGAAGTAGCCAAAGTATGTGCTGCCAATGTGATTGAGGATCAGCATGTCTAGGCCTCCTAAAAGACAAGATTGGGGGCTCTGTAGTGCTACCTGTTATAGAGTGAAGGCATTCTGGATTGCCCATATGGCATTTTTTTTGTCCAGGCCACCCAGTCTTGTCTATACAAACCACTGATGAGATGTATCTTAAAAAGCACTCACAAAATGAAACAGCCTCCCCATTTAATATAAATGAAAAATATATCTAGTGAACATACCAACAGATCATATGTCTACATTGTTTCTAAGTAATATCCTTGACATTATTTAGTATGTTCTTATGAGTCAAGTATTAATTAAATGTGGCTGTGGGAGGTAACAGCATTGCAGCATATAGGGTCAGTGGTCCTTCACCTGGGGAACTCATGACCGTAAAACTGAGATGAAGATTCGTTGCTAGCACGTGACACTGCCTTACAGAGCTGCTATATTCCAAGCAGCCAATTCTTAACATACCCCACAATTTCTCCGCCTCCTTCACCACCTCCTGTGCAAATGCCATGTTCTCCATGCTGCCACTCACATAGTGTATGGATGCTGCACCCAGCTCTCGACACTGCGTGGAAACCTAACACAAACAAATGGAGCGTTTTAGAGAGGGATTCCCATGTGCGGCTTCATAGGGAAATAAGTTGCTGGTGTAGGTACTCTGGCTGCAAGGGGCTGCACCACAACAATGCTTATCCCATGGTTCTGCCTTTGATTCTGCTTTATGGAAGTACAGCAAGCACAGAAATTAATTTTTCTCTCTATGGGAAAAGGAACGTGACAAATGCATCATTTGAAAGATCAGAACTGAAGGTGAGCGTGAACTTCTTTGTTGAAGCACAATTAATTGGATTACCCAGTAAAGACCGGTAACAAGAAGAATTAAATAGGTTTTTTTTTTTGTCAGAATCTCTTATCTGAAAAATAATATGTCTGAATAAACTCAAGAATTTCTAGGAATAATTTCCTTTGGGCAAAGGCAATGCATGAGAAACTGTATTTAGGAAAGAACGGTCTGGCTCAGTGTCGGTGTAATATTAGGGGTGATGGGAATACAAGTTGGCAGACAGGCTCAGGCTGGCATCCATTTCGTCCAGTGTTTGGTGTGTTGTGGTGGCGCAGCACCAAACACCTCTAAGGAAGATGCAGGGATCTGCGAGGACAGTCACAAGATTGGTGGGGTGGGCACTGGAAACAACAAAAAACAAAATAAAAACGCGTGTGTGTTGGAAAATATGGTGTAGCCTCAACTAAGGGACATTATTCTGTCTCCGTACATTGTGCATGCGTGTATGGGTCTGAGCACCTGTATACGTTTGATCTGATATCCCAAATGTGTAATCCTATCTGTGGCCCATGTTTAATGTAATATGCCCATCCCAGTGGTGTCTGAGCATGCTGCAAGTGCTCAGCTTCCACTCACTTTCTGTAGCTTGTCTTCTGTCCGTGCTGTGATCAAAATATGAGATCCCGTGCGTGCCAGGTGGTAGGCCATTTGCTCTCCAATTCCACTGCTTGCTCCAGTGACAATCACTCGCTTTCCTTTTAGCATCTCTGAAGAGCCGTGGACAGAGAATGATGCATATCACAATTATGTCCCTCCCCTTCCCCATCCAGGAACACCTGTGCCCAAGAAGCATTGAAACTAACTCTTCCTGGCCCAAACTGGCCAACCTACCCTGCCCGCTTTGTTTCCAAGAGAAGACGTGACCAAGGGAGCAGTGGGCACTACACATATAACTACCACAGTATTGCAATGCACAACTTCTCCCTTATGGAGCCTACTACCTCTGAAGAGCTCCGAGTAGGGCAAAATCGCAGCGTCCCACACTGTGGGGGTTTGGATTCAAACTCGACAGCCAACCCTTAGGTCACTGTGTGTGATCACGATTTCCCTCCGTTGATTTCCAATGGAGTTGTATTCATTTATGCTGGCGCCTATCATGATGATGAGTGCAGTGGAAAATCTAGGTAGCTGGGGCAACTTTGGGCTTGGAGATGTTTAGATCCAGAGCTGAATTGTGTAGTTCACCTCCATCTTGATTCGAATGCAGATGAGACGTTTTATATTTTGTGGTTAAGTTAGGTTTTGCTGAGTGTTTTGTCAAGTTCTATCTGTTTTTTTGTAATAGTTGTAGCATTAACTAAAAGACTGAAGGAAAGTTTAATATGAATATATATATAAAGCATTATTTCAAATTCGTGGCTTTGAAAGTCCTTGCCAGTCCTGAATATCATCCTCTTATGCCTTCTTGGATGATAACAATGTCTCTCCATACTTGCACTCAAATATGCTATGCCATTTTTTTTTTTAAATTAGAGAAAACATTAGCTTCTCAACAGTGCTATTCCTAGAGTCACTTTATTTTGAAGGGCTGTGGGCAGGAATTCAAAATCCTCATGCAACTGTGGTATTTTAGAAGAGACTCATAATAATGCATAACACCTTGCCATGGTTTGAAAGTACATGCTTATTTGAATAACTTACCTACTTTAAACTCCTGCTTTGCTGAGTAAAAGAAGATGGCCAGCACCAATCCCATCCGGGGAAAAAGACTCTTCAGTAGCAGACCCATGCCACTGCAGACGTGAACGTAAGAGAGAGAAACGCTTCCCGTGTGACCCACGCAATCCCGGCAGGTATAAATGTTCTTGACCACGGGCTGCAAGAAAGGGCAGATTTCAAAACGGTTTCCTTTTCTTTAGTGGCTTGATTACAATCACCTTTCAAATCCTTGCTTAGCTATTTGTCCAGTTTAGCACACATTAGCCAAAGCAAGAGTGCCATTTGGACTTTATGCCACCGTTTACATACTGTTCATGCTGTGGTTGGAGCTGCGCCCTCTGAGCATGTTGAAAGAGAGGTAGTCATGTCCTTGGACTCTGCAGATGTGGGTGCAGTTCCCAGTTTTCTTACAAACTTTTGTGGGGAGGGCAGACAAGGTTTTTTGGGTGAATCTGGTATCTTTTATTAGACCAACTCAAATACTGGGAAAAATTCTTAGCAAGCTTTCAGGTATAAATACCCTTTGTCAGGCTGAGGAAGCATTTGCTCTTTCCATGCTTTTGTTTTCTCAGCTGCACAATGCAGGTAATACTTCCCTAGTGCTTGGGGAGCTGGGGGATAAATCCATTGAGAAATCTCAGCGGCTTGGATACTATACAACTCCAACTGAACTTTGGTGTTTGCAACACAAGCACCACAGTCCCTGGCATTGCTGGTTATTTGTGTAATACTGGGCAATGGATAGGTCTGTACGTTCATTAGCACACTAAGTTTAATACCTGTAATAACAGGTGCTAACTTAATGAGCCATAATTAGCACTACTGCACAGTAGTGCCAGTATACATCTTTTACGTGATGCTAATGCACAATAAACTAATTCTATTGTGCATTAGCACGGCTTTTGCCGTGACGCACTAACGTGCAGTAGGACTAGTCTACTGTGCTTTTAGCATCTTGTGTAGATGCACTCGCCGAGTCCACTGCCTAGGCATAAAGGCCATGAAGGAAGACAGTGGTAGAGTGAGCAAGCAGATAAGTGAGATGCATCTTGTAGTCCTTTAATATTTCCCACCTTGTCATTACTAAGAAAGGGGGCATGTGTGAGTGAGACAGAGTGATCCCTCCCTGGGAAATGGTACTGTAGGTTTTTCTGCAAAGGATTTTCTATGGAAGGGCTGAAAGGAGAAGAGAGCGTTCTGGTGCACTGTATTAGGGACAGGGGCAGAGGAAATCAATCTGAATCGCAGGACGCGGGGACCGGGGGGAGCGGCAGGGAGGGCGCGAGGAGACTCCCGTGCTGGCGTGGAGAGAGCTTGAAGAGTGCAAACACTAATGCTTCACTAAACACGATCCCTAACCAGAAAGTAATCCCCAGAAACCACCTCTTCTCGGTTGGAAAATAGTGTGATGCTTTGGTAGCTGTGGGGGGCTGTGGTGAGTGTTTGGTGAGGGCAACTGTGGTGATTATTTGAGGTCAGTTGGGCACTTTTGGGGGGAAACGATATTTCTGTGGGAAACTTGATTGTTGCTTTTGTCCCCCAA